GAGGGCACAGGGACATCCCCAAATCAGCCAGAAGGGCTAGAAGGTAGGGTCGGGGGAACATTGACCTGTAGAAAACCAGATGAACCATCGAAAGAGCCCACAAAGTTCTGGCCGGTTTGGCTCAGTGGATAGAAGGGTCCCGGGTTCGATTCCGGTCAAGGGCATATGCCCGGGTTGCGGGCTCAGACCCCAGTGAGGAGCGTGCAGGAGGCAGCCGATCCATGATTCTCTCATCAAGGATGTTTCTGTCTCTCTCTCTCCCTCCCCCTTCCTCTCTGAAATAAAGACAAATATTTTTAAAAAAAACAAAAGACCACAAATTTATTGAGCACCTACTGGGTGTCCCCTTCATCCCCAGACTTCCACTCAGGGTGGTGGCAGGGTAGCTAGAGCATTGACCGAAGGAGACTTTTAAATGATTAAATTAGCTAATATGTGGAAGAATGGCACTTAGGTTGAAGATGGAGCTTAGAATGTGAAGGTAGAGCCAGGAATGCAAGACTGGAATTTGGAATGCCCAGCTGGGCTCACAGGGAGCTCGGGGAGGAGGGGTGAGTGGAATTTGAACCCTGGGGGAGGAGGATGGAATTTTGGCCGGAGTCGACCTGGGGGATGAGGAGATAGGAGAAGACAATAAGGAGGTTAGACAATAGTACACGTTTGTGATGGGATTAGGAAGATGCAGGTCTGGGGCTAAGTGAGGCCTTAAAGTCCAAGACCCAGTGGGTGTGGCTCTAAGTGGGAGGAGCCCCCACTGGCTATTGATTGACGGTGGTTTCTCCCTCCCCCAGACTGACCTGCGCTAAAGATGAAGGTTCTGTGGGCTGCGTTGGTGGTCACACTCCTGGCAGGTATGGGGCGGTGCTTGCTCAGGTTCCCTGCCCCTGCCCCCTCCCATCACCGGTTCCCCCTGACCCCTTCTATCCCTGTGCCCCTTCTGCTGGTCTCTCTCTTGAGAGGAGGCCCAAGTCTGAGCCCTCTTCTGACATTCACTGGCTCTGAGTGGCTGTGACTGTCTCAGGGCCTCGCTGTTCCCATTCCTACGATGGGAGTTCAAACAGTTTCCAATGCATTGTTGTCAGGCAGATAGTGAGGGCTACACCAATGTCCATCACCCCCGCGTGGAGCACACACCACAGACACTCGGTGAATGCCTGTCCAGTGAGGAACCAGACTGGCCGTCCTTCCCCCCCTCCCTGCCCATCAGTGCTCTAAAAAGGCCTGGCTGAGGGACCTACTGTGTGCTTGAAGAGGGCAGGGGACCTTGACGGCCATGCACTTGTTCCACGCAGGATGCCAGGCCCATGTGCAGGAGGAGGTGAAGCTGGCACCGGAGCCAGAATGGTGGCAGGTCAGCCAGCCCTGGCAGCAGGCGCTGGGCCGCTTCTGGGATTACCTGCAGTGGGTGCAGACGATGTCTAACAAGGTGCAGGAGGAACTGCTCAGCAACCAGGTCACCGAGGAACTGTCGTGAGTGTCCCGCCCTGGCGCCTGGCCCTCCTGGTGGGCAGTTCCTGTCTGGAACTCTTCAGGGGTCTGTTCATTTCTTGCTTCCTCTTGGCATTTTGAATTCTTGGCTTGACCTCTGATTCCTCCTCAGCTCTTCCTGTCCCTGGCATGTTCCGTTCTGTCTCCCAACATCTTTCTAGCCCATCTGCTCCTGGCTGTCTGGGTCCCCTCCTCTTGGCCTCTCCCTCTTTTGGGTCTCTCTGTCTCTGTCTCTGTCCCCTTCTTGCCCCCTCCACCCCCATCTTTCCCCCTTTTCTCTCCACACACACCTCCTCCCGCCCCCTCCGCCTTCAGGAAGCTGATGGAGGAGACCATGGGGGAGGTGAAGACCTACAAGAAGGAGCTGGAGATGCAGCTGGGCCCCATGACCCAGGAGACGCGTGACCGCCTGTCCAAGGAGCTGCAGGCAGCGCAGGCCCGACTGCGGTCGGACATGGAGGAAGTGCGCGCCCGCCTGACCCAGTACCGCAACGACGTGCACACCATGATGGGCCAGAACTCCGAGGACGTGCGGGCCCGCCTGGCCTCCCAGCTGCGCAAGCTGCGCAAACGGCTGCTCCGCGACGCCGACGACCTGCAGAAGCGCCTGGCTGTCTACCGAGTCGGGGCCCGCGAGGGTGCGGAGCGCGGCGTCGGCGTCCTCCGCGATCACTTCTTGCCGCTGATGGAGAAGGGCCGCGCGGGCGCCATCAACGCCAGCCAGCCGCTGCGGGAGCGGGCGGAGGCCTGGAGCGAGCAGATGCGCGGAAAGCTGGAGTCGATGGGCAGCCGGGCCCGCGACCGCCTCGATGACATGCGCAACCAGATGGAGGAGTTGCAGGCCAAGATGCAGGAGCAGGCCGACCAGATGCGCCGGCAGGCGGAGGCCTTCCAGGCCCAATTCAAGGGCTGGTTCGGGCCCCTGGTGCAAGACATGCAACGCCAGTGGGCCGGGCTGGTGGAGAAGATGCAGTCGGCCTTGGGCGCCAGCCCCGCCCCCACCGCGGTGCCCAGCGAGAATCAATGAGTGCTGGCCACGCCTGGTGGACCCCACTCCGGCCACCCCCGTGCCCCTCCCCTCTCCCAGCCTGCAGGGGCCCTGTGCCTGCCCCCACGGCCCCCCTGGGGGGCCCTGGCTTAATAAAGGTTCAGCAAACTTCACAGCAGCTGCAGGGCATCTGAGTGGTTTCTTACAGCCCCACACGGTCCTGTCCCCTCTGAATGCGTGTCCGTCTCTTTGTCTCCTCTCTTGACTGTCTCGGCTTCCTCCGGTCCCTCTCTGGGGTTTTCACCTTTCAGTCTCTGCCGCCCGCTCTCTCCTGCCTCTTCCCATTCTGTCCCTGAGACATGGTTCTGGAACAAACCGTCCCCTGGGGTACATCCTGCGGTTACTGCCAGGGGCGGAAGCAGCCTCTGAGCCTGGGTGGCCCAGCTTCGTCACACCCGCTTCGTAGCGCTGTCGGACGCAGAAGGCCTGAAACCACCCACGATGGCGCCATTTTACTCCCTCATCATTCTCCCCTTTCTCCACCCAGCTTATCTGGTCCTGCGTCCCGGCCCCTCCTGGCCTCTGAGTGCTGAGAGCCTTCATTTTCCGGCTTCCTGTTTTCCCCCCCGCCTCTCTCTTTCCTCTCCCTACCTCCAGTTTCTCTTGCCCAGGCCAGCTTCCCCCCCCCCCAACACACACCCTCCCCCCCTTCACTCTGAGCTGTGCTGCTTGTCCCCAGCCCTCACTCATTCCTTCCCTCCCGGTCGGTCGCTGGGTCCTGGCTGGAGAGAGAAGGCAGAGGAGCTCCGGGGAGGGTCCGCACAGCCCCTGGAATCCGGGGCCCGAGGCTGAGTTGGAGCCGCGAGTGCTCTCCTGTCCACCCTCGGAGCAGGGCTCCCACCACAAGGGCCAGGCCAGGGCTTGAGCTTGTGTTCACAGGGGGCCTGCATGTCACTCACCCAGGGCTGATCGAGGAGGGGAAGGGTCAGTGGGCTGGAAGGCAGGGGGCCTCCTCCCAGCCAAGCCTGGAGCTGGGCCAAACCCTCTCAGAGCCTCAGTTTCCCCAGATGGCAGTGAGGGAGGACACATCAGTCTCCCATCTGAGGAGACCGATTTTGAGTTCTCATGCATGAAGACACCTGAGCGGGGTCCCAGGCAGTTCTAAGAGGCGGGATAGCCCCGCTGGTGTGGTTCAGTGAGTGTCCACCCAGGAACCGAGAGGTCGTGAACCAATTCCTGATCAGGGCGGGCTCCATCGCTGGTGGGGGGCGGCCAATATGTTTCTGTCTCTATCCCTCTCCCTTCCTCTCTAAGATCAATAAAAACCGCCCTAGCTGGTTTGGCTCAGTGGATAGAGCGTCGGCCTGCGGACTGAAGGGTCCCGGGTTCGATTCCTGTCAACGGCATATGCCTAGGTTGTGGGCTCAATCCCCAGTAGGGGGTGTGCAGGAGGCAGCCAATCAATGATTCTCATTGATGTTTCTATCTCTCCCTTTCCTCTCTGAAATCAATAAAAAAATATATATTTTTTTAAAAATCAATGAAAACATATTTTTTTAAAAAAGAGGTGGGACAAGGGCTGGGAAGGAGCTTTGGGGAACAAGGCTGGCAGGGGGTGCTGTGGGCACTGTGGGCAGAGGCTGACCCCAGCAGGGATCTGGAGAGACAGCCTGCAGTCGGGAAGGGGGGAGACGAGCGCCCCCACATTTGCCCCTCACTGCGCCTTTGAATGTTCTTAGCCGGTCCTCTGTTTCCCCACCTGTAACCGAATATCCCTATAGTTGAGGTGAGGATGAGACTAAACAAACAAAGTTTTTCTACTCTCGTGGGGCTGGACACGGAGGGGGCAGGCCTTTGGGTGGGTGTCTGGGGAACGCCGGCTCACGAGGAAAGCAGGTGCCCGGGAAGACAGCTCGGCTCGGGGCTGACAGAGGCTGGAAGCTGCTGAGCTGGCTGGAGGGGTGTTGCAATCTTGCCAGGATCCGGTCTCTGTGTCCCTTTCACAACCAGCCCCCTCACCCCCAGGCTGACACGTGGTGTGGGGGCACAAGCCCAGCCAACCTAGAGTCTGGGGCCCGGGGCCACCCTCCCCTGAGCTCCCAGGGGTCACTGACGGTCAGAGGCAACTGAGAAGAAGGGAAGAAGCACTGGACTTCAGCCCCGGGGGACAGATGTAGAGCTGGGGGGGAGGAGGGGGGAGAGGCGGAGGGGCTTGGTGCCAGGAGGGGCCTGTGAGGCTGAAGAAGAGCAGTGGAGTGTTTCCAGGGGCCCCTGGGAGGCCTGGAGGTGGTGTGGCAATGCAAGGGCGTGGCGCCTGGAGGGATGATGGGGGCCCTGGGAGCCTTGCAGAGGGGGCTGCGTGGTTTAGACAGGCTGAAAAGACCCCGCCCCCAAAGGGGGGTTGGGGACTGTGAAGTTAAGACCCCAGGGAGGCCCTAGCCGGTTTGGCTCAGTGGACAGAGCGTCAGCCTGCGGGCTGAAGGGTCCCGGGTTCGATTCCGGTCAAGGGCACATGCCTGGGTTGTGGGCTCGATCCCCAGTGTGGGGCGTGCAGGAGGCAGCCAATCCATGATTCTCTCTCATCATTGATGTTTCTCTCTCTCTCCCTCTCCCTTACTCTCTGAAATCAATAAAATAAAATAAAAAAAGACCCCAGGGAGGCCTGAAATATGTCAGATGCGAAGCTTGAAGGGCTCGAGCAGTGGTTCCCAACGTGGGGCACATGCCCCACACGGGGGCAATTTGATTTAGGGGGGCAATTCGAGAATGAGTTATTAACAGTGAATTTTTTGCATTTCTTATGGTTCTAGGGGCCTCATATACAGTATATAAATATGTATTGTGACATATTTATGCATTTCAGTTCTCTATTATGTTTTGAAACTTTATTTGCTATTTTTTCATCTCCCTTCATATTATTATTATTATTATTATTTAAAACAATATCTTAGTAATTTCTTCCTTAGTCCTTCATCTATCCTTTTGTTCTTTTATTTTTCTCTTTCATGGATGCCATGTTCTTTGGAAGCTTGTTTAGACCAAGTTACTGGCCTTTTAGGCTTCCTCCACGTGAATAGGAGCAGCTCACTTTTTGAATAATAAGAATTATATGTCATGTTGGGGGGGGTGGAAATCAGGATTTGAGAGATGCTTAGGTGGGGCATGGCCAAAAAAAGGTTGGGAACCACCGGGCTAGTGTGAATGGAGGGGGCATGGGTGGACCCCACAGACATAGAGCAAGAGTTGTTAGAGCCCTAGCTGGTTTGGCTCAATGGATAGAGCGTCGGCCTGCGGATTGAAGGGTCCTGGGTTCAATTCTAGCCAAGGGCACATTCCTGGGTTGCAGGTTTGATCCCCAGTAGGGGGCGTGCAGGAGGCAGCCAATCGGTGATTCTCTCTTACCATTGATGTTTCTATCTCTTTCTCCCTCTCCTTTCCTCTCTAAAATCAATAAAATATATTTTTTTAAAAAAGAGTTGTTAGAGCTAAAGAGGCTAAGAAGAGGGAGGGGATGGGAGAGGTGGCCTGGGGCACCATGTGAGTGGGGTGACTAAGTAACCGTTCCTGAGAGACCCCCGGACGCTGGGAGACTGTGTGAAGCAGGAGGGGAGGGGCAGGAAGCCCGCAGAGGCCCCCACACTCAGGGAGATTTGGAGGGAAGCGTAATGAGCAGCAGGAGGCTTCGGGCCAGGGCACTTGCCTGTGTCCCACCTGGCGCCCATCCCCACCAGCCGGGATGTAAGAGGGAAAGGTGTTTGGCTCAGGCACCAGGGGAGGCGCAGGGGGAGGGAACCTGCCCCGCCCCCTCCCGGGACCATAAAGGCCAGGCCAGCCTGCGACCTGCTACCCCTGCTGTCCAGCAACTGATTCAGGTTGGTGCTCGGTGCCCCAGAGGGAGCCTCCACACACCAAGAGCACAAGGAAAAGGTTGGGGGGAACCCCGGGGGAGGGGGAGGGGCGCCACGGATCACCCCACCCCGCCTCTCCCTCCAGAATTCCCTCCGGCCCAGCCATGAAGCTCATCCTGTCGCTCTCGGTCTTGGCGGTGGCTCTGTTGATGGTTTTGGAAGGTAAAAGGGGATGGGTGGGCAGGTAGCTGAGGATAGAGGGTTGAGGCTGCAAGTTAGAGGTTCAAGGGAGTCATTGGTCAGTGGTCAAGGTGACAGACATGGAGACAGTCTATAGAGGCCAGTCCAGGGGCCCCACAGCCTTAACAGTGGGCAGGTCCATAGGAACTCTGCTGCTTAGGGCCAGCAGACTCTTGGGCTTCAATTCAAGTTGGTCACTGAGGCTTCCAGACTAGATAACACATCTATAGTGGTCACAGCACTGACCTTTGTCCCAGCTTCCGTTGGTCATTCTCCTTGCTGCTTGCCGGGCATGGCACACAGCGGCTTGAGAATGGGGTGAGGAAAGACACTTTACAAACT